CCACTAGAGTGGAAAGGAAAAAAAAATAGAAAAAAAAATAGGAAAAACGACCTCCATTTTTTAACACACACACACACACACACACACACACACACACACACAGTTGTGATGTTGTTTCACCAGACTGCCTTGGCAAACATTGTGTAGAAAGTGAGATGGCAATGTAATCCGTGGTGTTGTAGCTATGATAATCCTGTTCCCACGTAAAAAAATCCACCCCTGATGAGCAAGCCATGTTCCGAACCGCCCTTTCAATCCAAGATGCTCCATGTGTTGCTAAGGATAAACATTTTTCTAAAAAAAATTGGAAGATAAAATTCAGCCAGGTCTGAACAAAAGGGTTTAAATCAGTGGTTCTCAACCTGTGGGTCGGGACCCCATTTGGGGTCGAACGACCATTTCACAGGAGTCGCCAAACAACGCAGTCCGCCATTTCCCCCCCCTTTTCCTTAGCTGTGCTTCTCCCTTTTATTCTATTGGCTTTTGAAATAGAATAAAATTGAATAGAGTCTATTGGCTTTCAAAAGCCAATAGGAATTGTCCAGGCTGTCTCTGCCCTGCTGAGCCTGCCAAAAGTCCCATTCTGCAAACGGTGCTGCACCAGTTAAGTAGTCCTCGACTTACGACTGGTTGAGTAGTCCTCGACTTACGACTGGTTGGGGGTCGCGGCATTAAAAAGGTTGAGAACCACTGGTTTAAATGAAGGGTGTCCAACTTTGGCAAAATGTCATGACTGTGGACTTCAACTCCCAGAATTCCTCAGCCACCCATGCATGGGAGTTGAGGTCCGCAGGTGCTAAAATTGCCAAAGTAGGACACCCGTGGCTGAAATGTTTCTCCATCTTGTTGCAGCAGTGGGACGGTTAGAACAATTAACCGGTGGAACTGCTTGCCTCCAGAAGTTGTGGGTGCTCCATCACTGGAGGTTTTAAAGAAGAGACTGGACAACCATCTGTCCGGAATGATACAATGTCTCCTGCTTGAGCAGGAGGCTGGACTAGATGATCTCCAAGGTCCCTTCCAACTCTTGTTATTCGGTTATTCCAAACGGCCTGAACTAATCTGGACTTTCACTCAACGGCCCCATCCCTGTTAGCCTTCCACAAAGCTCTGAAGACCTGGCCATGCTCTGGAGTCTGGGGTACTACATGCCTCCTGGCTAGACTGTTAATGGGCCATATATCTTCTATATAATTAGACATTTAATTGTTTCTTTTTTACTGTTTTCATGCTTGTTACTGTTTTTGGTTTATTGTTTTAAATTGTTTTTAAAATTTTAATTGTATATTGTGAATTTTAAGTTGCCCAGAGTTATTTGCTGAGATGGGTGGCTATACAAATTAGATAGATAGATAGATAGATAGATAGATAGATAGATAGATAGATAGATAGATAGATAGATAGAGAGATAGAGAGACGGACAGACAGACATAGATAGATAGATAGATACAGATAGATAGATACAGATGATAGATATAGATAGATAGAAATAGATGATAGATACAGAGATAGATATATGATAGATAGATATATGATAGATAGATAGATAGATAGATAGATAGATAGATAGATAGATAGATTTTAAGATGGATAAATGAAAGGAGGGGATGGATAGATTGATGGATGGATGGATGGATAATGGATGGATGCATGGATCCAACTTATGATGATGATGTTCGAAGGGACCTTGGAGGTCATCTAATCCAACCCCCTGCTCAGGCAGGAAACCCTTCACCATTTCAGACAAATGGCCATCCAGTCTCTTCTTAAAGACTTCCAGTATTGGAACATTCACAGCTTCTGGAGGCAGGTTGTTCCACTGGTTAATTGCTCTGGCTGTCAGGAACTTTCTCCTTAGTTCCAGGTTGCTTCTCTCCTTGGTGAGTTTCCATCCGTTGCTTCTTCTCCTGCCCTCAGATGCTTTGGAGAATAGCTTGACTCCCTCTTCTTTGGAGCAGCCCCTGAGATACTGGAAGACTGCTATCCTGTCCCCCCTCGTCCTTCTCTTCATTAAACTAGACATCCCCAATTCCAACAACTGTTCCTTATAGGTTTCAGCCTCCAGTCCCCTGATCATTTTTGTTGCTCTAAGTCAGTGGTATCAAACTGCCGGCCCATGGGCCGGATGCGTCGTGACAAAAACGCGCCCACCCCATTGCCGGCAATAGAAAAAAAGTCATGTTGCGAGTTTGACACCCCTGCTCTAAGTTAAGTTGTCCTGGTTTAAAAAAAGGGAGGTGGCCACCAGGAGATTCTGCAGCTTTCCAAGGATTTCCAAGAAGGCAGGCCAACTGCACACAGAAGTGACCAGAAAGCTATCTCGAGTCGCCAGCTCCTGTGCCAATTTCAGCAAGGTGGGCACAAAACCACCCCAAGTCACGTCAAAGAGATGCAGCTGCCTGGGGTTTAACCTGAGATGAGATGAATTGAGAGCCAGTTTGGCCTAGTGCAGGGGTAGGCAACCTTGGCTCTTTTATGACTTGTGGACTTCAACTCCCAGAATTCCTGAGCCAGCATGAGGGAACTATGGCCCCTTCATGACTCGTGGACTTCAACTCCCAGAATTCCTGAGCCAGCATGAGGGAACTATGGCCCCTTCATGACTTGTGGACTTCAACTCCCAGAATTCCTGAGCCAGCATGGCTCAGCTTGGAAACCTCTCCCTTTCCCCTCAGCATGGCTGGCTCAGGAATTCTGGGAGTTGAAGTCCACGAGTCATAAAAGAGCCACGGTTGCCTAGCCCTGTCCTAGGCCTAGGCCGCTTTATGACTCGTGGACTTCAACTCCCAGAATTCCTGAGCCAGCATGGCTCAGCATGGAAACCTCTCCCTTTCCCCTCAGAATGGCTGGCTCAGGAATTCTGGGAGCTGAAGTCCATGAGTCATAAAAGAGCCACGGTTGCCTACCCCTGGCCTAGAGGTTAGGGTGCTGGCTTAGAAATCAGGAGACGATGAGTTGTAATTCCAGCTTAGGTAGGCACGAAAACCTGCTGGGTGACTTTGTGCCAATCACCAGGAGACAGAGAGTTCTAGTTCCGCCTTAGCCTTAGGCATGAAAGCCAACTGGGTGACTTTGGGCCAATCATCAGAAGACAGAGAGTTCTAATCCCGCCTTAGGCATGAAAGCCTGCTGGGTGACTTTGCGCCAATCACCAGGAGACAGGGAGTTCTAGTCGTGCCTTAGACATGAAAGTCAACTGGGTGATCTTAGGCCAATCACCAGGAGACAGTGAGTTCTAGTTCCGCCTTACGCATGAAACCTTACTGGAGGAACTTTGGGCCAATCACTAGGAGACAGTGAGTTCTAGTTCCGCCTTACGCATGAAACCTTACTGGAGGAACTTTGGGCCAATCACTAGGAGACAGTGAGTTCTAGTTCTGCCTTACACATGAAACGTGGCTGGGGGAACTTTGGGCCAATCAACGGGAGACTGTGAGTTCTAATCCTGCTTTAGGCATGAAACCTGGCTGGGGGGGACTTTCGGCCAATCAATCACCAGGAGACTGTGAGTTCTAGTCCAGATTTAGGCATAAAGGCCATTTGGGTGATTTCGAACCTGCCCCTTTCTCTCACCCCAACCCACCGCCCAGAATTGTTATAGGGAAAAGAGGAAGAGGAAGGAGCGTTATCTACATTCACCCCCTTGAGTTCCTTACAAAGTAAGAAAGGTGGGGTATAAATCTAACAAACAATCCATATTATTGATCCCTATCCACATCCATAATCAATATTATTATTATTATTATTATTAATAATAATAATAATAATAATGGTAGTACCAATAGTGATAGGCGCCTTGGGTGCAATCCCAAAACAACTGGAGCACCACTTGAACACCGTTGGCATTGACAAATTCGCTATTAGTCAATTGCAAAAGGCGACCTTATTAGGAACTGCTTCCATCTTGACGATATCTGTAATACCATCAAACATCCACATCTGCCTATCCCAGGTCCTGGGTAAGGACTCGATAGGTAGACAAAAATGCCAAATCCAGTCTGAACATCTGGCTGACTGTGCGATGATCGATTAATAATAATAATAATAATAATAATAATAATAATAATAATAAAAATAAAAAACTAAACCTGGCCAATTCTGACTGCGCCCGCCTCACCTGACCCATAGAAGGATTCCCACGAGCAGGGAAACTCGGGAGCAGCAAAGGGGGGGGGGGAAACCTGTCGGCCAGCAGCTGCCTCTCTCTCCAGCCCCCCCTCCCTCCCTCCCCACACCCCCTCGACGTCCCTCCTCCTCCTCCCCCTCCTACGCAATTAGCCCAATCAGGTTGGAGATGCCGGCTGTCAGTCGGAGCCAGGCAGGCAGCGAAGGCGCGCGGGGGGGAAAACTCGCTGAAAAGTCGGCGGGAGGCGCCGCGCCGCCAGTGGCGAAGCCGCAGCAGCAGCAGCGACGGCAGCAGCAGCAGCGGCGGACCAGGGGCGCTTCCTCGCCGCTGCCGGACGCCGGCAAACTTTCAGCCCCAGCCAGCGGTTGAGAGGCTGCCGGTCGCCAGTAGCGCTGCCTTCCCGCGAGGCCCCCGCGCTGCTGCTGCTGCTGCGCCGGGGAGGCGTCGCCCCGAGCCCCCTCCCAGCCTAAGGACCTGCCTGACATTTGGCGCAAGGAGCCCCAGGACTTAAGGGAGAGGTGCAAAGCCCCAGGAGGAGGAAGAGGAAGAGGAAGAGGAAGAGGAGGCATGCATCTGCCAGAGCTTCAGCAACAGCAGCAGCAGCGACCCCAGCCCGGCTCGCCTTGAGCCCCGGTCGCCAAGCCAGCCTCTCGTCTTCCCAGCCTCCCCGCTTTTCCAGCCCCGGTTGCCAAGGATATTTCCTGCTTCCCCATAAACGCAAAAGAGGAAAGGGAAAAAAAAAAAAAAAAAAAAACTCCACCGCGGTTGCTCGCAGCTTGGTTTTTTTTTTTTTTTTTTTTTTTTTTTTGCTTTTTTGCAGCGCTCTCCTCTCGGCTGCAAACGGCGGTTGCGGGCTTGCCTCAAGCGGCCGGGCTGGGGGCCGGGGGCCATGGCTGGCCGGGGCGAGTGAGCGGCGGCTTGAAGCCGTAGCCTGGCCGCTGCAGTGGGGGGGCTCTCCCGGGCGAAGGAGGAGGAGGAAGAGGTGGAGGAGAAGGAGAAGGCAGCCAGCAGCAGCGGCAGCAGCAGCGGAAGAGTCAGCCCGGCGGGGCGCTGCGGAGATGGCCGAGTGAAGAGCGCCGCGGGGGCAGCGGCACCGCGGGTTCGAGCCCCGGGTGCAGTCGGCCGGGCTGAGCGAGCGAGTGATCGGAAAGGAAGGAAGGATAGATAGATCGATCTCCGGGCGAGGATTCCTTGCTCTACCTCTTTTCCTCCAGACCCCCCTTTTGCTATCTTTTTTTGGGGGGGGCGTCGGAGGGGGGTCCTCTCTTTCTGCCCGTCATCACCTGGTGGCGGCTTTTCTGCAAAAAAGGTGTTTGCAAAAGAGAAAAAAGAAGGAAAGAAACGGTCGGGAAGGAATGAGCGGCGCTTTGCTGGCAAAGGCAAGACCCGGTTGGCGAAGCTACGGAACCGGCCAGCCTAGAGGTAAATCATCATTATCATAATCATCTATATATATATATGTGTGTGTGTGTGTATGTGTGTATCTCAAAATCTCGGGTTGGCTGCGCTGGAGAAATACATTTCCAAGGCGTGTGTCTCTCTCTGTGTGTGTATCCCCATCTCTCTCTCTCTCTCTCCCTCCCTCCCTCCCTCTCTCTCTCTCTCTCTCTCTCTCTCTCTCTCTCTGTGTGTTTGACACACGCCTGCAGAGAGAGCCGGGCGAGAGGGAGTGAGTGAGTGCCGGAGCCTGCCACAAACTGCGTGTGTGTGGACCCACACGCACACACAAGCACTCTGACTACACACAGAGACACTCACACACGCGCGCACCCACACCCGAGACACCATCTGCAGTGTCAATGCGGCGCCTGGGTTGAGCAAAGGTGGGGGTGTGGGGGGGGGGCGAAAGGCAGGGAGAAAGGGGGTGTTGCTCCTACCTTTCGCAGGTAAGCCGGAGCTCCGCCGCCTTTTCCCTCCCCCCCTCCCTCTCTCCCCCCCCGCAGGTGTGGAGAGCTGGCTTGCACCTGCCCTGATTTTTTGGGGGTGGGGGGGAGAAGGGAGGGGGTTACGCGAGAGAGGAGAGCAGAGGGTGGGTGGGTGGGTGGGGGGAGAGAGTTCAAATTCTGGGGTGGCCGGGGGGGGGGCAGGCGATGAAAAGTAATTTGTACCCCTCTTTAGTTTCCCGGCTGGTGGAGGGGAGGGGTGGAAGGGGGAGGGTCTTTTTTTGGGGGGGGGCGCGGGCCAGGGGGCCTGAAAGCAACTTAATAATAAGAAGAATAAAATAAAAGTGGGGTTTGGGGAGGGGGGGCTGCGCGGGGGCGGGGGAGGAGGGGGCTGGGCGGCAGACCCCGGCTGTGCCCTGCCAAAGCCTCGTTCCTCCCTGGGAGGGGGGGAGTGTTCGGGGGAGGGGGGGGGTCTCAGCTCCCCAGCTCCATCCAAATCCACCGGGGGGGGGGGAAACCTAGGAATGGAAGAAAAAAAAAAGAAATCAATCAATGACTCCGCCGGTTTGTGAGTGTGTGTGTGTGTGTGTGTGTAATGGACCTGTGTATCTGGCTGTGCGCCGTGCCCCCGCGCGGGCGCGTGCACGTGTAGTATGTGTGTAAGAGCCAACTGCAAGGAAAAAGGGGGCGGGGGGGGGGAAAGAAGAAGAAGAAAAAAAGGAAATGCAGGCGGCTCCGTCTGACTTCCGCAGGACTTCTCCCTCTCCGGGCTGGAATAGAAATTCTTGTTAAAACACACACACACACACACACACACACACACACACACACACACACACACACACACACACACACACACACACACACACACACACACACACACACACACCCGGGCACGCACGGCTGCACACAACCGCGCGTGCCCGCCCTGCCCGTCTGCCTTTGGCCAGCGAAGGGTCCTCGAGCAAGAGGGGTGGATTTCGGGGAGACGGCAGGGGGATGAAGGCACCAAGGGGGGGGGGCGTTGGGCTCCGGTTGGCATGGAGAAGGGTGAGCAATTTGTCTTTGGCTTTCTTTTTTTTGGGGGGGGGGGAGAAAGACTGGCATGATTCGGCTCTGTGTCTCCTGAGCAGGAAGGACAGCCTTTTCCTTTCCTTTCCTTTCCTTTCCTTTCCCCTGCCCTGCCCTTCTTATATCTTCCTTTCCTTTCCTTTCCTTTCCTCTCTGTTAGTCCTCCCTCCCTCCCATTCTTCCCTTCCCTTTCCTCTCTCTTAGTCCTTCCTTCCTCCTTCCCATTCTACCTTCCCTTCCCCTGTCCTTCCCTTCTTCTTATATCTTCCTTCCCTTCCCTTCCCTTCCCTAGTCTTCCTCTCTCTCTTTCCTTGTTCCCTTCCTCCTGTCTCCCTCCCTGTTTCCTTCCCTTCTCTTTCCCCTTCCCTTCCTTCCCTGTTTCCTGCCTTCCTCTTTTTCCTTCTTCCTTCCCTCCGTCCTTTCTTTTCCTCTCCTTTCTCTTCCCTCCCTGTTTCCTATTCTTCCCTCTCTTTTTCCTGGTTGCCGTCTTCCTTCTTTCCCTTCTGCCTCTGTTTTTCCTGCTTCCCTTCCTCCCTTCTGCCTCCGTTTCCTTCCCTTCCTTTTCCTTTCCCCTTCCCCTTCCCTGTTTCTTTTCCTTCCTTTTTCTTTCTTCCTCTCCTCTCTTCTCTTCTCTTCTCTTCTGTTCCGTTCCCTATTTTCTATTCTATTCTATTCTATTCTATTCTATTCTATTCTATTCTATTCTATTCTATTCCATTCCATTCGATTCCATTCCCTATTTTCTCTTCTCTTCTCTTCTCTTCTCTTCTCTTCTCTTCTCTTCTCTTCTCTTCTCTTCTCTTCTCTTCTCTTCTCTTCTCTTCTCTTCTCCCTTCCCCAACTGGTGACAAAGTCCAGGTGGTTTCACACCCAATGCTTCCTTCCCGTGCATCGCTCTTAGTCCTAAGGAGAGGCAGGATCAATCCTTACCAGTTTCAAAAAATGACTTTACCGATCCATCTGCTCCCCCCCCCTTTGGTGAAGTTTGCAGGAAAAAGGCACACAGCCCCCCTCTTTTTCCAGCTCCTTAGCTAAGCCTGAGTTTCTTTCTCTCTCTCTCTCTCACCCCCTACCCCTTGCAAAGACCCCCTTTCCCCACCTTTTCAAGTCCCAATCCGACATCCACCGAGCACGGAGGCGGATGTTATATCGATGGCCCGATTCTCCCAGCTGAATATCAAGCTTGTTTCTGAAATGGCTCACGGTGCGCTCTGGGGGGACCTACAAAGTGCACTTCCCTCTCCCATAACCGTGGGATGTGTGGGGAAGCTGCCAAACCCCACGAGACATTTTTTTTTCTCTCCTAACCGCTTTGAACGTCCTCTCCTTTCGGTTCCCCCCCTCCCCAATTTCCAAATTAAAAAAAAAAAACTTTGTAATTCATACAAATGTTTCATGTAGAATGTTGAAGAGGACATGGGATGCCTTTTATCAATGGCTGGAAAAACAGAGAGAACAGCACACGTATTAGCGAGTTAAATGCTGGAAGCCAGACAGATAAAATAAGGAAGCATTTGTCACGATATTTTTTAAAAAAAACACGAATAAAAATTAAAAAAAAAATTCTTAAAAAAAAGAGTAAAACGTGGCCTCTTGCAGAAGCCTCGGCGCTTAGAAACGAGGGGGAAATGGCAAGCTCTTCCAGCCTCACACCCGGTGCCAATGCTTAAAAAGGCGAGTTTGCTGGATGCCCATTTCACAGATGGGAAAGTGCAAAGCAGAAGGGCGAAAGGGGGGGGGGAAGCAGACTTCGCACTCCCTGTTCTTTTGGAACAAGGATCCCTCTGAGATCATCGATTGGCGGAAAGGGGTCCAGGGTGGAACTCTAGCTGGGAGGTCACCGTCAAATCTTCAAATCTCTGGTTGAGACTTCGAGCCCATGATACTCTCTGCTCTTTCTGGGGGTTATAAAACCCGACAAATAAAATGCACCCTTTTTGTGTGTCTGATTAATGGAGGGGGGGGGCGAAAGGGAATTGAATGCATCCCAAACTGCTGGTGGGATTGAGAATTTGCACCTTAGGGACTAGCCGCTTGATTCTCTCAGCTCTTTATTTGTGGTTCCCTTTAAGCTGTATTATTCTCTCCGGCCTTGTCTTTCCTATGGCTTTATACCTGGATGTGGGCTTTTTCTTTCTGCTTTCTTCTTGGGGGCTGCCCGTTTTTAAGCCCTGATACGGTCAGACAATCTCTGAAAGTGAGAGAGAGGCTGGATGAAATTTTATCCCGCAGGAATTGAGGATTTAAAGGGTTAAAGCCGTGTACTTACGGGAGCAGAGATCTGATGAGAAAGGAGAAGATGGGAAGGAAGGGTTCTCTCCCCCCCACCCTCTCAATTCCTCCAGGATTACTTATCTCCAGAATTATTATTTTTTTTAAAAAGAAAATTTAGCATTGGAATGAGCTAAGGCTTTCGCCCCCGGAGAACTAATGACTTACTCAGTGGATAGAGACCGTTTACACAGTGCTGATGCTTTTCTTACTCTCAAACCAAGACACGATTGATTGCCTCTTGAGTTACAGTTGCACCTTCCTCGTTCGGATGCTCCAGGAGTTTGCAAGGAAGAGGCAGGGGTGTCAAGAGATACCGGCATAGAGCATGCAAAGAGTTTTTTTTTCCTTTCCTTTTTTTTTTGGGTGCGGGTCAAAAATAACTGATGTGATTCACCTCGGTGCACCTGGCATTAGCAATAGACAAGGTGGGGCATAGAATAGAACAGTGATGGCGAACCTTTTAGAGACCGAGTGCCCAAACTGCAGCCCAAAACCACTTATGTATCATCGGGTGCCGGGTGGGCGTGGCCCATTGGATGGGCGTGGCCCACTGGATGGGCATGGCCCACTGGATGGCGTAACTGTGACAGACTGGGTGGGACTAAAAAGTTCAATCAATTCCAACTTTGCGAGATCTTTTTTTTTCCACGCGAAATTGAAATTGATTGATTGATTTTTTTTTTGCACATGGCGGAGGCCTAAAAGCGAAAAGTTTTTATAAAACGCGGCTGAAGGCCTAGGACTGGGCCAACGGCACGCGTGCCCACAGAGAGGGCTCTGCGGGCCACCTCTGGCACGTGTGCCATAGGTTCGCTACCATGGGAATAGAATATAGCTGGAAGGGACCTTGGAGGTCATCTAGTTCAGCCCCCTGCTCAGGCAGGAAATCCTAAACCAGTGGTTTTCAACCTTTCTAATGTCGCGACTCCCAACCGGTCGTAAGTCGAGGACTACTCAGCTAGTGCAGCACCATTTGCAGAATGGGACTTTTGGCGGGCTCAGCAGGGCAGAGACAGTCTGGACAATTCCTATTGGCTTTTGAAAGCCAATAGAATGAGACTCTGTTCAAGAGAGTCTATTCTATTGGCTTTCAAAAGCCAATAGAATAAAAGGGAGTAGCACAGCTAAGAAAAGGGGGGAAAAATGGCAGACTGCGTTGTTTGGCGACGCCCGTAAAATAGTCGTACGACCCCA